GCAAGTTTGCCATCTGACAGTGTGCCAGGCCCCGAGGAGGTGCAGTGTTCATGCGCGTCCTCCTGAGGCGGCCCCAGTGATTGTGAGGAAGTAAGCCCTCGTGAAATTGTCTTTTCTGAGGGCAGTGACTCACCTCAGTAGCACAATATAAAGTGAAGCCCACAGCTTGGCTATCTAGAGGGGCATAAACACTCCAGATGGGTTTTCTCTCCAAGACACACACTTCTAGAAAAATCTTGGATTCTTCACACCCACTTACCCATATGCAGCAGTGGGCCCGGAGGTGAACTAATTCTTCCTCCACGTGTCTTGTTCTTATGCCAGAGGTGGGGAAGAGGGCTTCACGGGCAACCGAGTTTTGGGTAAATTGAGAGGCCACATGTGGCCTAGGTTTGAGCTCAAAAAGAATGTCCTTGTTTGATTAGTACAGCATCTTCTAGGAAAAACAGGAAGTCTAAGGAGAATAGATCAGAACCCAGCTGTTAGCAAATGGGAAATTGGTTTAAGTGCTGAGAAAAGACCCATTTTTATTGCTATCAGTGGTGTCTCTCTCATCATCTCCACCCACAACCACCCCACTGACACTCACTACCACTACCCCCATCCCCCTCACCACCACCACCACCACCACCAAGCCAAAGAGTATCCTTGCTCCTCTATCACAGTTACTGCTACTTGGAAGAGGCCGAATTTGATACGAGGATACAGCCATCCAGCTGGGTCCACAAGGTCCCAGAAGCCCACTGTGTGGCGAGAAACCCGATATAGAAAGGTTACTTCCAGTGAACACCTGCAACCTCCTCGTGTCCTAATAGAAATGGGGAGGCAGCAAATGGCCAGAGAAACACAGTGGGACTCAGCATTTTGAAGAGCCAAGCAAAGCGTTCAAGCTCTTAACCTTGATCTCCTGGTCTGGGCCATGTCAAGGTTGACTACACCCTGGCGTGGGGGAGAAACAGGTGAACACATTCTGCAAGGGCATGACTTCAACAGACCACTTCTCTAGCCTGGAGGTAGGAAGGGATGCTGCCTGCCTCCTCAAGCTCAGAATTTATGAACTTCAGACAAGGAGGTGAACCTGGGGTATGAGCCAGGCATTATCACCAGGGAAAGGTGGACCACTTCCCCCTCTCTCCACCCTCCTTTTCCTGATTATACTGTTCAGAAATGAATTATGCTTTAATCCCTTCTGCTGCTAAGCGTGTTACAAAATGTGGGTTGCAATGTCATTATAAGAAATATTTAAGTAAAAGAGAAAGAAAAAGGAGAGTGAGGAAGGAAGGAAGGTTGGAAGGAAAAGAAAATGTTATAGCCAGTGACACAACTCATCATTACCACCAGCAGAAGATGAAGAGGCAGGGACACTCCTTGCCTGTGTACACAACGAGATGCAGTTGATTAACGTGGACCATTTCTGTCTGTAATGAATGTGGCACGTGCTTTCACAGTCATGCAGTGTTGGAAGCCAGGCATCAGGGGAGAAAAGATCATTCCAGTCACATGCTTCCTGATTTCTTTATCGCAGGGTCATCAGACCAGAGCCCGGTTGCCACAAAGTGCTCAATGATCCATGGGAAATGAATCATGTCTTCATTCCAGGGCTTAATACATGCATTACATCACTATTAGAAGCAAGCCACTCTGTGGTTGTTGGCTTCCACATGGATTAAGGTCAAAAGTGGCCCTGGAGACCGAATTCCCTAGTGAGGGTTTGCCACGCAGCTGCATGTGTCCTTTGCTCCTGAATTCTTTCTTCTCCTAGCAACAACTACTAAACACCAAGCTCCCCAGGCTGGTCTTATGTCTACAAAAGGGTTGCTCTTGTAGCAAAGAGCTGGAGACATACAAGCGAGAATCTGTTATTATGGGTTAAGTTGTGTCACACCCAACTTGCAGTGAGAGTCCTGTTTCTTTTTATTAGACTCCAATTTTGTTGCAATCACGACTGCTTGAAATAAATGGGCAATTGACAGGGGCTTAGAGATAACAGTGATGCTTAAGTGATTTTTATAGTGGCAGTACTTGTGGTAACAGAAGTTGACCTGTATTCTGGTTATTATTTTTATTCTTCGCGTTGGAAATTCGGCACTCCCATTGTTCATGCCATTATAGGCGGAGCGCTGTAGCGTGAAAGTCACTTAGAAAGCTATGAAAAAACTCTCCAAACACAAGAGGCTCATGAATAAAACCTCAGGTAGGGGGAAGGGTTTTGTTTGGTTTTGTTTAGCTAAATGTTCTGGGTGGTCAAAGTGTATTCCTTTTAATCCCTAATGTGTTTGTTTTTTTCACTTGTGATATAAATACTTCTAAAATGTTTGATATGCAAAACTTGTCTTCTGAGTCTAATGTAGTTTCTTTAGGTGACAGGCTCAGGGTCATCACTCTGAATACAATTCCACTGTCCTGTGATACGAGGCTTTTGGGGATGGAGATGCACATAGAGCTGGTTTGGCACTGAATCCCTGCCCCAAACACTGCTTCCTGAGCTCTGCCGTCTACTGCAGCTTGTTTATCTTCTCTCTGGCAGCGCTTTTTCCCCTCTTGACCTAAGTTCCCTCTAGAAGTCTGTTTCTCACCCTTAATCTGCTGTAGGCTTGGAAACCAGACATCAAACATCTAGAATTATGTGTGAAGTAGGAATGACTAGGTTCTAAGTGGGTGCTGTACGGGTAGACGTACGACCTTTCTCTCATATGTTTGCTTCCTAACATTCATTTCAGCTGTCAGAAGCTTGTTAGCGTAGTTCCTCGTTCTGTCACTTTTGAGTGGGTCCAGCAGAGGTTCGAGATTTTTCTGGTTCTGTCTCAATGATTGTCAAACCACCTGTTTGGATTTCATGTTCAGAAAGCAGAGGTCGGTGAAGCTGACGGCTGGGTGAGCCCCAGGTGAAGGAGTTGGCGTGAAGGTGGTGGGCCATTTTTGTAAGGTAAATGGTACACCGTGGCCCTGATGGCTGAACTCAGTAAATGAACTGAAACAGACAAGCTTCTTCTGCAGTCCCTTTCCCTTAATGCAAAGCTGGCCCCGTGTCAAGCTGTTGAGGATGCCTGCGAGATGTTAAATTACAGACCGAGTGTCAGAGCTGGCTGACGTTTTGGGATTCCAAGTCTATGGCAACTGATACCATGGCTTTGCCTTTCCTGGCAATTTCATTATTTATGGCCTTGGACTAAATAAGATAAAGTAAGTCTAATAGCTCCCTCCTTCTAACAGTGCAGTTTCAGGTCAGAAGAGGATTTTACGGCTACCCTTGGCCCTCCTTCCCTCACTGGGCACTGTACTTTGCAGAACTGTCCAAAGAAAAGCCAAAAAAGGGACACATTCCTTCCCCACAAGGCCATGCTATGTCTTTGTATGGGGGTGGGGGTAGTGATGTTATTCAACAGTACAAGACGCAGCTAGGAGCGATTAACAGCAGGGGTTGGGAAGTCTGCTGGACCTGGGTTCAAATCCTGGCTTCCATTTAGTAGGGTGTGACCTTGGGCACAGTATTTAATTCTCTAAATCTGATTCCTGAGCAATAAAGTCAGGGATGCTATATTAGTGCTGTGAGAAATGAAATAAGATAGTGTGAAAAGCAGCTAGAATAGTGCCTGGCCCAGAGAAAGAGCTCACTAAATGGTAGCTATTATTAACAAAAATAAATGATTTTAACCTGGAGACTTTAATATTTAACAAGTACAGCTACTCAGCAAGCCAGTTATTAACTTAAGCCAGCCTTTTTTTTTTCTTCTTTTCCATGACATCTTCTTCTCTTATTAAGACTGGCAGGCAGACTTTCAGCTAGGTATTTCTGGTGCCTGGTTAAGGCCAGGAGATATTCCAGACAAGCTGCTATCTCACCCTTTTAAAAGCGTAACGGAAATGGGCCCACCTCTACGCTGGACCAAGCAAAGATCAATAAAACAAAGAGTTGTAGCTTTCAGAGGGAAAGACAACAAAATGAGAGGAAGGGCTGGGGCACTGGGATGTGGTGGTGAGATCCTGGCACCAGGAAGTGGGGAAGAAAACCTCCCAACACTTTGTGGTTGATTAAAACCCTGAGACTCCCAAGAGCTCTGGTGCCTGGCAATGCCACCCCGCCAGGCGGAAGTGTCCTCAGCGGCTGGGACAGGGGAAACAGGGCCTCGTGGTGGCTGTAGGAGACAGAGAGGCTGCTGTCCTGGTTTTATGAGCGTGGCTCCTGGGGGACCTTGGGTGACTGGCCCTCCCTATCTTGCACAATTCCTCCAAAGTCCATGCGGTCCCCAGCCAACTACAGAGGTCTGACAGACACAGGTTTGTTAGAAGGAAATTTAAAGCAGGGTTCATAAGCTGCAGCTCCTCCACACACACCTGCTGATGGGTTTTAGGTTGAATTTTTAAAAATTGAACTTTAATGCCTTTAGGCAGGATTTGAAATTTCTAATTCTCACAGTATCGACCGTCTTGGGTTTCACAGTTTGCCTCTGAGAACCTGACATGGTTTCAGTGACACCTCTGGTCCTGATTTTACAGATTGGACTAGAATTGCTTCATTTACAACTTAGTCCTGTCTCTTCAGCAATTATGTCAAATGTGTATTCCACACAAACGATGTTGCTGGCCTCACTGTGATTTCCTGTGTGAAGTTTTTTTCCCCCCAGAAAATATAAAAAATTAAAGTCTGACCTGCCCCCTGGTTAATCCAAATTGTAAAGCTTTATTATTCGAAAACCCCGCTCAGGACCATGTATTCTTTAGGTTATAATCTCCTCTGCTCAGAAAATGTAACCGGGGCAGGGATCATTTTACTTTGAGAAGAAGCCACATCAACATCTTGCTAAGTATAATGATTTTCAGTCTGCCCTTTGCCACTTGCCGGAGATCTCCTAAGCCACTCTAGAGAAATCAGGAGTAAATGAGACTCCCACACCTGGGACCAGAACGCCATATCGCCGGCAGGTCCACAGTTAAAAACGTGGACTATCATGAATATCACCCCCAGCGGGTCCTCTGTGCCCAACTCTGAGAGACAGATGGTATTTCCAGTAATAGTTTATTGATTTCCAAATGCACAGGGGCGCTGAGTCCAAACATCCTGGGATGGCGGTAAATCGCTCTTACAAAATAATTTACAGTATGAAGATGATGTACTGAAACATTAACTCAAACGAGTGGTTCCCTTGAAAGATTGAGTGCTCCCTTGTTTAACGTAAAGGGGGGAGGGGGACGATGAGTAAGGAAGGATGGGACTGCACAGGACAACAGGCAGAGGACAGCAGGTCGTGTTCTCCCCCCCAGGCAGTAGTGCCTGTCACAGTAGAGAGACCCATCAGGCTTAGCTCCCATTAAGTATGAATCTATTGTCCCCTCAAGGTCACATCACACCCAGCCCAGGCTCTGTGGCACTTTTTTACACCAGCAGGTGTACGACTGTCTGAATTTATTTCCATTTTCTTGCTCTGATGCACGTTCTGCGATTTCTGGTGTGTTCTCAGTTCCGAATGGCACTGTTTTACCTGGCAGGCCCCGGAGGGCCGAACTGCCTGGCCTTATGGTGCTTGGAATTGGCTGGGGTGAGCTGGGCACAGACAATGCGATGAGAAGTCTCCCTAATGGGCCATCTTTTGCTCTCAGGGCTGGGCCGAGTCCATCCACAATGAGATTTGTTCTTTAAACACAAAATCCCAGGTGTGCTAGGCACATGGGAAACATTGCAACGGATTTTCTTATCAAAAAGCACTGAGCAGCCATCACGTGAGTGTGGGGTTTCAGGCACTGGTAGGAGAATGTTTTCTGGTGGGAAGAGGCCTCAGGGCCCTGCCTTTCCTACCGGTTGTGAATTCGGCAGCTGTGCCCACAGGCTGACCGGAGGGGTCAGACTCCGAGCCCCAGAATGGGTTGGCAGACTTCCCTTTTCACTAGGCCACCCAGCAGGGCTGTCACCCGGGCTCAGTGCCTTAGGACCTGGCAACCTCTGCCAAGGAGCTGCTCCTCCTGCTGGCATCCTGTCAGCCCCTAAGCTCCGACTGTCTGGTGACATGTGTAATCAGGGCTGGCAGACACCTTTGCGGTGGCATGCAGCATAATGAGGGGCTGCTTTGAATTCCCTTTGTTCTTAAATTGTGAGCACCTCTGCCAAGGAGCTGCTCCTCCTGCTGGCATCCTGTCAGCCCCTAAGCTCCGACTGTCTGGTGACATGTGTAATCAGGGCTGGCAGACACCTTTGCGGTGGCATGCAGCATGAGGGGCTGCTTTGAATTCCCTTTGTTCTTAAATTGTGAGCGTGTGCGTGTATGTACATACACATACACTTACCTTTATGTCCACACGCATACCAGGTATCAGCAAGGCTCAGTGGACTATGAATGGCCACCCCCGCCCAGGCACAGACCTGGCTGAGGGGACTGAAACATGATGGCTTCCTTTCCTAACAGCAGACCCCCTCCCCCTTTACTGCTGCTGAGAAGCTGTATACTCTTGAAGGCCCGGAAATTCTTAGGGGGGGGGATGGCTTCTGGGGGCGGGCTTAAATTAGCAACTCGTACTTAATGCACCTGCTGAAGAGGAAGAATAGGCAACTTTGATGCCTTCTCTGAGCCCAAACCACAGCCATACAATGTAATTCTGAAAAAGAAGTCATAAAGTGGGTGGTCGCACTGCAGGGAGGCGGGGGGCGCTGCCGCCTTTCGCCCTTTGTACTGAGATGGACCATGGGCCACAGAGTTAGGGGGAGCTGGGCTCAAAACCCGGCTCCAATATTTCCTAGTAGGTCAAGGCAAGTGAGTCTTCCACTCCCAATCGGCTTCATCATCTGGGAACGGGGGCCTAGTACAGGGCCTGGTCCATAGTTGGTCCCCAGTATAGGTTATTTCCCTTCCTGGTTGTCAGAGCTGAGACTCCAAGCATTTCTTGGAATGGCACTGAATTTAATGACATCAAATAAAAACAAACACGCTCCACCCCCCTGCCCCCGTCAGCCTCCAGACACCCGATATTTGGAAGGCAGCCAGACATTGGTGTTAGGACCCAGTTCATCCTGAAGATGCTCATTAGCTGCCTGCCTGCATGACCTCTCCTGGGATTTCTGCAGAGCCTGCGGCAGTCAGGACAGGACTTGGAGCACAGAGTGTAGGACCTGCGGGAGGGAGGCCTCACCACGCTGGGGCTCACGGTGCCTGCAGCTGCAGCTCTGGGAAGCCGGTGCCGCTGCAGGAAGCATCCTCATTCTGATGTTGGCAACGCTGCCGGCAGGAACTCGGGAGCCTGGCAGACGCTGCTGCACTGTTTCATGCTTCCCTGCTTAAAGTTTTATCAGGTGCTGAGGACAGCAGGAACCCATAAAGTGAGTCTGAAATCCTCTCTAAGTAAAAGCAGAAGTGCTTTCCTTGAGGACTACAGGGATACAATAACTTATGGAGACAGGCTGGCATGCATTTTCACATTTCCTTTCATATCCTCTGCATAAATGCTTGGGTTTCCCAAAAACCGATTTAAAGTAACATGGGATCAGGTATGAAGAGGCCAGTGATCTGTCCATTGCTGAGACAAGGCTACTATGTAGAGATTGAAAAAGAATATTTGGAGAAGATAACATGAGTTCCCACATCTTAATTGTCTCGTTTTAAAGCTCTTATTTTAAGAGAGGCCATTGGTTCTTCTTTAAGGGGCGTTTCATCGGATGGGTTGGAGCTGTCATCAGTGTTATGTGGGATTCTCCAGCCTTTGCAGGCAGACAGGTACAGTGCCATTGTCTTGGCCATTTGTTGGCTACTAGTTTGAGAGAAAAATACCCTTTTCCCCCCTTAACAGTCCAAACTTCTCTCAAATTTATAAATAAGCCCTGACATATTTAGTGAGCTAGGATAACCCTAACCCAGAAGTATACATGCCTGGTAGCCTCCTGGCACCAAAGGAATGGTCATTGAGTAGCATGCACAGGACTGAACAATGATATACATAGGATTCCTACAGCACATAAGTATTGTTTCTGCCTCAAAACCATACTGTGCACACAAAAGTCAGCAGGCCCGAAAGCTATGTAATGGGTCCAGGGATCAGGCAGGCAGGCAGCAGGCAGGAAGAGGGGGTTCCCCAGGGTAGGCTCCTTGGGTGCCTCAGAGGCACCAGAAGTGTACGCCCCAGTCAGCAGGAGCCCCAGGGACACCAGGATACAGTTCCAATGGTCCTTCTCAGAAATGAAGACCAAAGTGCCACTAAAGGCCGAGGAGAGGGAGCACCCACCCCACCTGCAAATGAGAATTTCCTGTGGGGGCTCCCATTTTACCTTAACCACGCTGATATGTACGAAACTCTATTTCATGCTATAACTGTTTGTTTTACCTAAAAATAAGGTCACCCCCTGATTCCAAACTATCTAAGTAAGACGGATGCTGAAGATGCAGGTGTTTTAGCAGTGTGGCATTCCCTAGGACACCACTGCTCATTTGAGCATGAAAACCTGGCTGTGAGGAGCTGGGATCTGGGAGCATGATGTGTCTGCTCACGTGACTAGAGAGAAGGTTTCGGCGGGGAGATGCTCCAGGGAGAGCTGGCCGGGAGTGCACAGGCAGAGGGGCTCCGGCTGCCGTGCAGGGAGGGTATCTACTGAGAGACAAAGCTCAGCTCCATTCCGTACATCGTGAGTGACAAGAACTCTCCCCACACTGCATTTAAGCCAAATTAATTAGGCTAAGTGTGTGTGTGTGTGTGTGTGTGTGTGTGTGTGTGTGTGTAGGGCAAAATCCTACATTGAAAATTCCCACTTGGTAATACACATCCCAGCCTTTCATGTGACAAAATTCATCAAATCTCAGAACTCGCCCACTCATTCAGGTCCATCAGATCCTTCAGTGACTGTTTTGGAAACTCAGACAATTTGGGTTCAGAAAACTGATTTCAACGTTTAATCAGATCTCTTTGGTCCTCTTTTTTAAAAATGTTATTTCCTTTCTAAGTCTTCAATCATTTTTTTTTTCATTTCCACAGCACTGGATTATGAATCTGAAGTCCTGGATAACCTCATGTACTAAAAATATCTCTAAATATGTCTGAATTTTAACTCTTTCTCCAACCCTGTCTTTAAACAATCCATCTTATTTCAGGAAACCACCTTTTCACAAATGCACTGGACTTTTAGAGACTATTTATGTGGGTCCAGCCCTACTCTGCCTCATTTGTTTCATGCTTCAATAGGAATAAGGTGGCAGGTAGGGAAAATATTCTGATTGCCCTTCAAGGTTACTCCAGAACCTTCCTAGTGAGGAGGTACATCTGGGTCCCAAATATTCCAGGGGCTGGCTTTCTTAGTCAGTTCAAAGCAGCCATGGAGGGGCTACCTGAAGGACCCTTCCCAATTGCTCCTGGTTGATCCAAGGGGCACTCTTCCTTAACCCACCACGACACAAGAATGAGAAGCACACAGTCAGCGAGCATGAAACGGGCATCCCCGGAGAGCTATGTGCCTGCTGAGGGCCTGGGGACGTATGGGTGGAAGGACATTGGTTGCCGGGCAGCTTTCACAGAGTCAGAAGCCGTTACATACACGCTGTCACACACACACAGGGGGAAGGAATGGTTCTCCGCTGGGGGTGGCGAGCCTTCATGTGTCCTCTTCGTCACTGGCCCCACTGCAAAGGAAAGGAGATCAGGTGAGGCAAGACATCACAGGGGGGAGGCGACCGAGGCTGCGGCTGAAGGCACAGGCTCTGTGGTCAGACCCCGGGTTCCAGCCCTCACCCTGCCACTGCTGGGCGCTGCACGTGGCCATGGGCAAGCTACTTACCTCTCTAAGTTCCGATTTATCTGACTAGGGGGATTATGGTGATGATAAAACCTACTTTCTGGGTTCTTGGAGAATTAAGTACGATAATACACATAACATACACAGGGCCACAGCAAGTGAACAGCTATTTAAATGAGCAGGGGTGGCTCAGAATCGTTTTTTAAACTTACTTGACAAAATGAATTGCAGGTAAAAATCAGGAGTCTGGCTTCCCCTAAGCCAGGGATGGCGAACCTTTTGAGCTCAGCGTGTCAGCAGTTTGAAAAACCCTAACTTAACTTTGGTGCTGTCACATATAGAATTTTTTTGATATTTGCAACCATAGTAAAACAAATACTTATATTTTTGATATTTATTTTATATATTTAAATGCCATTTAACAAAGAAAAATCAACCAAAAAAATGAGTTCACCTGTCACCTCTGACACACGTGTCATAGGTTCACCATCACTGCCCTAAGCCTTAAGCCATCTACTGTTAGGAAAGAAAGACAACAGGAAGCTGTCATTCTGCTCTCCTCTCACGGAATCCCCCCAAGGTTTCAGTTCATGCCACGGACAGTCACCCGACTCAGATGTCACCACTTCAGAGAGGGTACTGCACCTAAGTAGGACCCCTGATGATTCTTCATAGCCACCTTATTTCTTTCATAGCCCTTATCACATCCTGTAAAGTATTTGCTATTTACTCTCCCGTCTACTGCCCACTGGAGCATGAAAGAGTAGAAATACAATCTATTCTATTAACTACTGTTTCTCTAACACTAATAATGCACTGGGCACGTAGAAGCATTCAATAAACAGTTGTTTTTAAAAAGTGAATGAGAAGTGAACACAACAGGAAGAAAGGGAGGAGAGAGAGGGAGTTGAAGGGAATAGTCAGTCATCCTAGATGGCACTGATACTTCAGTGGCCAAACCATGAGCTGTGTCCCAGAGGATGGCTGGGGGCTCAGCTGCTCAGGGGTGGACCTCCCTGGCTTGGTGCTGGGCGAGAACATGGCTGAGACAGCCGCTGGGGCAGGAGGGCGGGGCCAGAAAAAGAAGGGGGACAGGAGCAAGCACACTGAAAAGGGCAGAAGCAGCAAACTCACCCAGTTCCCCCTCCTGCACTTCTCGAGGCCACGGCCAAAACTGTCACAAGAGCCAATTGGATCGGGTGCCTGAGTGGCGGGGGCACTGAGCCAAGGCCTCCTCACCCTCTGCCATGCCCCTTATGATCCTAGGATGGAGGGGCTGTTATTTTTATTAGCCCTTTCCCCATCTGAACACAGTGGAGCTCTGAGAGATGTAAAATCCTCGATCACAGAGCAAGGTCTGTGTCCCCTGGATAAAGTCTGAAGTAGTCAAGTCAGGGAGGTTGGAAGGGAGGTAAAATCTTCCTCTGGTAGAGACAGGGGCTACGTAAGGAATAGGACAGGCTTGGGGTGCACCAGCTCCCAGCCATAACCTAGAGAACGTTACCTCACAAGGGACTGTCTATATCTGTATCAAATCTGTGCTCTTTTACATCCATCTGGGAAAGACTTTAAGGGAGAATATCCTAGGCAACTAACTTGGAGTACTTTGGCTCAGGGCGAAAATATTTCAAGACGTAGCCTGACAATAAGCTGAGTGTACTCTGGGAGCCCAGAGAACCAACTGGGCAGCCTTTACTATCCAAATCCCTCCCGTTTCCGCTCCTTTTTCCTGACTGTTGTCCAATCACAGGATGGAGGGAGCATGCTGGGAAGGGCGGGACCGTGAACCAGCGCTAAGGAGCCACGTGTTTGGTGACATCTGTCCCAAGGGGAACAAAAGGTCTTTTATGAAAGCTTCTCACCAGAATCAAGGCACAGTTGGAACTGGCGTCATAATCCACCCTCCCCCCCTTGGTATTATATTGAAAGGGAGCTCTTATTGTTCTCTTGTCAATGCCCTTCAACTATGAGAGCCTAGCATGGTGACTGTGCCCTTAAGCTGTAGTTCACAGTCAGCATTCTTCACTCGAAATGCACAAAGGGCTCATGAACCCACTGAAATGGTATACAATATTTGCCTATGTGTTCCTTTGTTTGAGAGAGGTCACAATTTTCATCATATTTACAGAGAGGTCAACAACCTCCCCCCGCACCCCCTGTCCCGACCCCAAAAGAGTATAATGAAATTATAAGTGAGTGCTTTTTGTGTTGCCAGGTTCTTTACTCTATGACTCCTAGCACTGGCTTGGGGTAAAGGTCAGAAGCCAGGACTGATGAAATCTTTTCTCATTATCCTAAAAGATCTGTTCTTGGGTCTGAAGGACATAGTTCATCTCATAGTTTAAAAGCACGAGACCTTGAGATCCTGGCATATCGCTGATTGATTCTTTTACTTGCTAAATATTTATTGACAGTCCACTGTGTGTAGGCATGATGCCAGGCACACCAATAAGTAAGAGAGACACAGCAATTGCCCTCCTGGACTTGACTGTACAGCCTGCTAAGTGAGGAAGAGAGACAGAGACGGGCAGAGACGGAGATAGAATATATTTTCCAGAAGAGCATCTTCAAACAGAGCGTATTTGTTTTCACAATTTAATTAATCACCTGTCTTCCTTTGCGTGTGGTCCTTTCTGGAGGGTTAACAATATAATCATCTCCTAGTGCTCCTTCACTTTGTATAGAAGCTGGTCTGCGCTCATAAGATTTTATCTTAAAATAGTCTACAAAAGTCTACTTTCTCCAAGGGAAGTGGCCAGACTTCCACCTCAGCCATTCACCATCCTCCTCTGAAACTTCTACCAGTCACACTTTGATTTGTAATGGGAGTGGTACTCAGAGGTTATTGAAATGCTTTTTAATGTCCTGTTGTTGTTTGAAACGAACTAAGGGTGTTAGATAGACAGCCCATTCTATAGTTGGCATTGACCACCGAGGGAGGCAGCATTATCTAGTTGCTTTGAAGTCACCAGGCTGAGCTGGGTTTAAAACTGAGCTGAACTGCTGAGCTGTGCGACCGTGGGTGAGTAACTCAACCTCTCTGAGTAACACTCCCTCTAAGGCAGTGGTTCTCAACCTTCCTAATGCCTCGACCCTTTAATACAGTTCCTCATGTTGTGGTGACCCCCAACCATAAAATTATTTTCGTTGCTACTTCATAACTGTAATTTTGCTACTGTTATGAATCGTCATGTAAATATCTGATATGCAGGATGTATTTCGGCGACCCCTGTGAAAGGGTCGTTCGACCCCCAAAGGGGTCGCGACCCACAGGTTGAGAACCGCTGCTCTAAGGGTTGTTGTAATGAGATGGAAGGTACTTTTTTAGGATGAAAAATGCCAGGTGAAATATATATTTCACAGGTCCTTTCATAATCTGCTTTTCCTCTCAACTAGTCAGGATTGCTATAGAAAGAGGAGGAAATACAGACACTGGGCTTATCTCTCAGGCCTCACAGCGCCTGTGCCTCCGAAGGCCTGCGAAGATGCCTCTCAGAGAAGCTCGGGTCTCTAGTGCTGCCTCAGGTCCACGCTCTGATCTCCATGCACCTTGCGACTTGTCTGCCGTGTTTAAAGGCGGCTCCCCGTCTTGCACACCACAGGGACTGTGTGGCGGCCTGTTTCTGTGGAAGATGGAGAGGCACCAGCAGGCCTGTTCAGGCAGCACTGTTGCACAGGGAGATCCTTGCACAGAAGTAGCAGGCAGCGGCTTGTTTGCCTGCCTATGTCCCATCTGTTCTTAGAATGCCTTTCTTTAGGACAGAGTCTTCTGTTGCTACTGTTGTTGGATTTATATGGAATCATTTCCAGCCTTTTTTTTTTTAATTAAAAAAGTAAGTTTTTCCATTTTGCTGAGCTGTACTTTCTGTAACAAACAAGTATTGCTTCTATAAAAAGAGGAAAAAAAAAACACCCTATGGCAGGGGTGGGCAAACTTTTTGACTCGAGGGCCACAATGGGTTCTTAAACTGGACCGGAGGGCCGGAACAAAAGCATGGATGGAGTGTTTGTGTGAACTAATATAAATTCAAAGTAAACATCATTACATAAAAGGGTACGGTCTTTTTTTTTTTTTTTTTTTTAGTTTTATTCATTTCAAACGGGCCGAATCCGGCCCGCGGGCTGTAGTTTGCCCACGGCTGCCCTATGGTGTTATCCACCAGTGATAATCAACATTAACACACTGCAATAGATTTATCTATACCCCCATGCATATATAAAAATAGATATTTCACAGGTATTTTTCATAATCTGCTTTTCCACTCAATTATCAATGATGAATACCTTACTTATCAAGAATAATATCTCTATAATATTATGATTCATGATTGAATTGTCTGGATTTATTCTACCTATACTAGACACAAATTATTTCCACCTTTTCATTCTTAACCACACCTCTGTGACACATATCCATGTGGATGATTTTTTAAAAAAATATATTTCTTTATTGATTTCAGAGAGGAAGGGAGAAGGAGAGAGATAGAAACATCAATGATGAGAGAGAATCATTGATTGGCTGCCTCCTGCACACCCCACACTGGGGATGGAGCCTGCAACCCAGGCATGTGCCCTTGGCCGGAATCGAACCTGGGACCCTTCAGTCCACAGGCCGATGCTCTATCCACTGAGCCAAGCCGGCTAGGGCCCATGTGGATGATTTTTTAGGTCTACCCTTAATTATTTCTCCCAAAAAGTTCCCAGAAGGGAAACTCCTGGGTCAAAGGGCATGGTCGTTTTTTGTTTTAATAAATTCTATTCTATAGGATAGGTTAAAGTTTACAGAAAAATTACAAAGGTAATACAGAAGGTTCTAATATCCACGTTCCTCTGTTATGTTAATATAGAACATTTGTGGTATATTAGTATTAATTGAATTTTATGTTT